TCCTCTGTGGACTCCCGTAAAACCCGCTCCAGTCCTTCTGACCTCTATAACCTTGAACACAGAACCACTGTGTTCAATCTTTCCTAACTAATATAAACATTCTTAGTTGTCCCTTGTTTATTTTAATTTTCATTGTATGTGTATGTATGTTTGTAAATACTTTGTATACTTAATTATCCAATGAGCTTTTCAAGTCCCAGAATAGATTTTATTTTACGTATCTTTTGAATTTTTAAGAAGTGTCTATTTTGATGTCTGAAATTTAATTATTTGTACTTACTTAACCAGAAAAAAAGTAGGCTGTGATGAACGATAATCGTGGTGATTCGTGAAAGAGCCCAGCAAATCACTTAATTCGATTTGATTCGTTCAATGTCAATCGTAACGCAGACTTTGCCCCAAATCCGAGTCAGAACACGCTCAGAGCTGATAGGCCGTAGCCAAATTTGAGTCTTTCACTAATAAAAAAACAAACAAAAACAATCCAATCAATGTGCAAACTGTTAAAAAATAATAATCATATAAGCTCTTAAAGCGGTTATAAAATATAAAATTATTTGTTGAAGTCGTGAGGAGCGATCAAGTACGAGGTAGTTTTGTGTGAAAGTGCTGAGATGTAGCACCACACTTTCTGACCCGAATAAAGGTCAAAACGTCGGCAAAATAATTTAAAAAGTCTTTTTCTAAACGAACTCATTTTTGACCGCTCCTCACGTCTTCAACCAATTATGAAACAACAGGTCAATAATAAATACACATACAAAATTATTATTAAGTAGATGTACATAGAATAACAACTGTTTCAAAATAAGCTAAAGTCACGAAATAAGGATAATTTTAAAACATTAATGAGGGTGAGGATGTCATGTCAACTCGTAGTCTACAAGGGGACATTAGCATGGAAAGTTCATCAGAATCACTTGATACTTATGTTTTATGAGAAATATGCTTGAATATGAATTAGGAGTGATTATATTAACATTTTGTTACGATTACTAGAAAGAAGCACTTGCGAGATTTCCAACTCCAGGGTTGCATGGATTAAATAGACAAGTTTGTCTTAATTTTTAGCTCTGTTACAAATTCATTATATTTCGAAACCTTCGAGCTCTCATTCCCGCCTCGAACTCTGATTTAAAATTATTAGGCCAACCCTTGGCCTTCTTCGTAACTGCGTCAATGGAAAGTTAACCGATAGTTAACCTTGGTTAAAGTGGTTGCCGGGAGAGGGTTGAGCGAAGAAATCGTGACGAATGGTCCTGGCTGCGTGCCACTGTCTAATTTAACCCCAAATGGCAATAATTATTAATTTCCATCCCCTTGGCAGCCATCTCCGCCACCTCGGTCGTCGTTTAAACATTTGACCCGCTCTGCTCCGGTTCAGCGTAAAAGCCTTGAACTTGGAGAGATTGAATCAGTAGGAAAACAAAGTTTTAAATTTGCCAATTGATGAGAGAATAAGATATCACGCTATGACTTTATTCACAAATTCCATTCTCGGAATCCAGTCTGTTTGTATTTTCAAATTAGGTTTACAGTAATATAACAGAAGTTTGTTTGTTCTAGCCTAAAAAACTTATCAGGTTATTAAAAACATTACTCCTGAAGCTTTACGTATCAAATTAAAAACGAAGGCTTTTTGCCTAATTATTAAATCCTACGAGTACGACGACCCTTGAAAGGAACAAGGGCACGCCGAGCATAAAGGTCAATTTTTTGCAGAGGGTAGTTGCAACTTGTTGCTTCTAAATAAGATGTATTTAGGGCAAGTTCATATTTATTGCATGTCTAGTCCGTCGTTCTCTTTAATTCAATTCTACCTGTGGTTTTAACCCATTATTCGTTCCAACCGATGGAACTGACATGTCCTACATTGCATTCTTTGTTTTTCTTTTTGTTTTTAATCGTAGCATTTGCCTATAAGAGATTATTATCGAGATGAGAAAGTGCACACATAGGTTTGGCATTATTGTTAAGATGGATCGAAATCATAGTGTGGAACCTTTGGATGAGGGATCGGATCAGCTCGTAGACAAAAGTAGTGTTTAGGTTGTTTTGGATAGTGAGCTTTGTAACATAGTAAGAAGTTTTGACAAATTCTCTGTTTTTTTGATCGGCACGAATGGATGCGATGGATATTGGATGTATTGATGTAACCACTCAGCTCCACTCTGTATGTTCCAAAGTGGTCGCAGTATCTTGTACAGAGTTCGTATTTAGGGTCATCAAATTTCATTTCTAAAAGTCTTCATAGTTGTCCAAGTTGTTATTTCTTAAGCCATGGATGGAGATTCCATGTCAGTCTGAGTGGAAGACGGCAGTCCTTCTTTCTGATATACAGTGGAGGGCTTGACTTGATAAAAAGAATGTTGAGGTCGTTTTGGATAGTGAGGTTTGTGAGGCGGTAAGAAGTTTTGACAATTTCCCTAATGGCTTTTGATCGGAACAATTGGATTCGCTGAATATTAGACGGCTAGGACCCTACAGTTACTTCTTATGTCCTACGTGGTTGCAGTAATCTCTTGTAATAGGGTTAGTTTAGTTTTCGCAGTCGAAACCTAAGAGTCTTTCTTAGTAGTTCAAGCAGGCTCTTCAGACTTGTATTGTATATTCCAAGTTATAGCCCTGCAAATCGGTAGCCCTTTGTTTTGGCGTATTTCTGGTTCTTCAGTTCATCATTTTAGTTTATACTAAAAAATGTACGAGTTTGCAAATTTGTCTGACTAATTTTGTTATAAGGTTTGGATGCTGGATATTGGATGACCTGGCGCAATTACACAGTTCTACTCCGTATGTCCAAATTTGATGCAGTAATGTCTTTTATAGAATTGAGTTTTGACTGTCGAAACAGATTTCTGCGCATAGAGGCCAATTTGTTGTTTCTTAAGTTTTGGGAGGGGATCCAACTTCAGTCTGCTGTCAAGTATAGTCCTAAGTTTCAGACTTGAGAGAGTGTCTGCAGCATCTTGTTGTTGATGTACAACACTGTTTTATCAGTGTAATTTTACTTAAATTTTTCCACGGTTGTTTGATAAACTCAATGTGTCCTTGTTCGTTGGATGTCACTTAGATAGAGGAACGCAATGACAACTGGGATGATGGAGTTGGTATATATTGGAAAGTTAGCAGTGTAATGCTTCTTATCTAAGTATTTGTTGCCGCACCTCACTTTGAATCAACGGACAGTTAAATATGATTCAAGGATAAGGTAACAAGAGATGGGTACGATAAGAAGCAGGTTCAAAGAATATTCATGATTAGAGTGGCAGAGGTGCGCAGAAAAAAATTACACTTTAATGGGTCTAGCATGCATGAGTAGAGGAGAGTATCCCTCGAAAGGCCAGGAGCTGCTGCACTGGCCCTGAACCCTTTAGTGGCATAGGTTCCATATTTTCAACTTATCTTTGGAAAGAAGAAATATTGAAAGTGAAGAAACGATGTAATTCACACACTCGGCACAAACAATCCAAAAACCTGAGATTTTGAAAGAAACAATAGGATGCATCGAAAGAACCAGGAAGACACTCCGAATCCTAACTGCGGATTGAATCCGCCTTTGACGAAAATTGGCATCACGGTGCAGATTATGCAAAAAAGCTGAAAAGTCACAACTCACCTACTAAAAAAACTGTGCTTCTACACTTGTGGGCAAGAATAAAATTCTTTCGTTTGTAAAACCTTACCGCAGAAGAAATACAACAACTAAACCCAGTCGAAAATATTCCAAAAGTTACATGTATATCTATTTCTACGAAGATATACTGCACTTTCTTGTTTAAGAATTTAACAAGCTTTTTTGCTTGGTACAGGTTATCTACAAGTAGATGGGTGGTATCGTATCTCTTAACAGCACCTCATAGACTGGTGGTTGATGGTTCTGAGCAACAGTACAAAATAGTAGGAGTGATTTAGCAAAAAAAGAATTTAGGGTTGTATTCCTGGAAGGATGACTGAAATGACCCAGCAAGATGGATGGCATCACTCTCCTTGAAGAGATTTTCTTCTATTTCATAGAAAAGAGATGCAATGTTCGACCGCACATCGTTACTAACGACGTGCCATGGTGCGGGCCTCGAGGGACCATTTGGACCTCCATCCATTTTGTTCAAAGCATCTTTGCACCGTACATAATGTAATATCGTCCGTATATTGTACGATAGTATAAAGGATGGGACCAAGAAATCCCCTTCCTGTGGGATACTGGCCTGTATTGGTCTGTTATGGAAGTACTCGTTGCCACACCTCACACATCAGCAGACAGTAAAGGAAAATTCAAGTATAAGGCAATAATGGGTGGTTAGGAAGAGTTTAAGTTTATAAAGGATGCCTGGGTGCCAGTCACTACCGAAAGCCCATTTATATATGTTATCCTTATATTGTATGATTTTGACTTCTACATTAAATAGAGAACATATATTCACTGCATACAGGGAAAATCGGACCGGCTCAAAATAGCCCTACCGAGGCCTTTGTAAGATTCTTAGCTCATACAACATTCCTCCAACTCGAACGTCCAGGAGCTTCAATCGAAAATCATCTACAGTCATTCATCAAATGACGGATAAAACGCAATTCTCGATTAGAAAAGAAACTAAATCAAGTTGTAATAAAATGTGTCAGAAAAATCTATAAAAACAGATCTATGACCCTGTTTTAAAAGTAATTGCCTTAAAATTTTAATGACCACCCAAGAGATTAGTCAAACAAAAATAATTAATGATTTCATAATCGTTCACAAAACAGGAAAACTTGATATTATTTATCTTTTCTTCGCCATAGTAGCATGATTTATTATATAGTTTTAAAAGAGAATTATTGTAATCGATGATTAAACTAGGAACCAAAAAATGGATTATCTTTGTATTTTGTTTAAAAATCCTTTAGCGATGCGTTGAACTATGAGTCATTAAGTGTGATTTCTATTGCACCATGTTACGGATAACCTGCACAAATATTTCATTTTTTTTTTTAAATTTTAATTGTAAATTCATCCCTTCCAGGTGGTTACGTCGAAGATGAGCCGCGTAGAAACTACCGAGTCGAGGACTTCTTCTGGAGCGGTTCCGGCGACGGACAGGGCTCTGGCGACGGCCACCCAGAGGCGACATGGGCGACGACAACGATATTCAGAACGACAACAATCCTCACGACGATATACCCGACCCCGGTATTTTCCAGTACCTGCCAAGGGGACCAGTGTTACATTTCTCCGACGCCGACGTTAAAACTGGAGCCGTCGACTTCAGTCGCTCCGACGTGGCCACCGACGCAACCTCCGTACTACGACGTGCCCGACCAGAGATACTGGCTGGTTACTGTCATCGAAGCGAACACAACAGCCCTCGACTTGTCGCCGGCCGTATTCGAACAGCGGTTAGCTCAACTTTATCGAACTGCTTTCCACAGGTCAGTGCTTTTAAGACCAATCAAAACTTTTTTTTATTTTTATTTTATTTTCAATTCAAATGACATTCGTTTCCCAGGCAACAAGAAAGACACCTGGGCCTCAGCAATGACAGTAACCAGCCGGAAAAAGGAAGTCTGAAGAGAGAGAGAAGGGAGACTGTGTCGGTTCGGGTGCACAGGGTGAGCGGTGGTGCATCGAGAAACGGCATACTCGAGCTCGTCTACACCGTCAGAGTTGCTGGCAAAGCTGTCGACGCCTCGGTTGCCGCACAAGACATGCGGCTCGTAGCCGACAACGAGGTCACCGCACAGCTGGGGTTTCCTGTCCTCACTAAAGCCGAACGTAAGTCAACTGCTTAAAACTTAATCGGGAAATCAAAGAGAGAGAGAGCGAGAGGGAGAGAGAGAGAGAGAAAGAGAAAACCCTTTCACTTACCTTCCGTACTAGGTCATATCGTAATTCCAACATTTACCTAATCTCAGATCCCGTAAAGATCGCAAAGCTCATTCCAGAAATATTTTCTAGGCCATCTTAGCCTGGATCTCGAGTCTATCTAGGTAGATGATTTCTAGAGCTAACAATCTATCTCTGACCTATAACTATCAACTATCAAGTTAATCAACCATCAACTATTAAAACAATCGAGTTGACCTATAAAATAAAAGACCTGGAGATGGGTCAGCACCCAATTCAGACATAACAGAAGTCCTTTGGAATATGTACACTACTCGTCCAAAAGACGAAGAAAATCGGAACGTTCATATCCAATTGGATATATTCTCTATTAAACTGATCTATAAATATTTATGACATAAGAAACAATTTCGAATGGCTACGACCAAAAGTTAATGTATGATTTATTATTTAAAAAATTTAAAGAGTGGTTTAACTAATTAAAATAATACAAGCCTTTGTCCTGTGCAACCTAACACTAATCTTCTAAAGCGCGTCCTACAAATTTTTATAACAATAAAAAACTAGACATTTTTAGGCTCGATCAGCCTGTGTTTGTTACTCCGATGTCCCATGCTCCACATAAAAAATGCATAACCTTTCTGGATTTCTTCAAAACCAACTTGAGCATAACCGTTGAAAAGCTGAACTATTCTAATTTTACCTTGTGTCAACGACATTTAGACTTTCTCCCAAAATAAGTGAGAAAAATAAGGATGAAATTAACAAGACCACCCACACGTTTTATTTTATATCTCCGGTTGTAATTTATTTACGGAGGCGACGTTTATGCCACTATGTGTATGTTCTGAGTTTCTAAAACATTTTAAATTTTCATGTGGATCGATTCAATCGTTCCAAAGGTATCAGCACTTTTGTGATTTTCTAAAATTTTCTTATTTGCTCGGCAGATATTGAAATAAATAAGTAGGGACGTAACAAGGTTGACTCTTAGAGCTTTACACGTCTTTAGGGCCATATAAAAACTAAAAGTTAAGGAGTTCCATTATTATTTACTTCACTTATAAAGGCATAAAATTCAAACTATGTTAATATAGATGAAAGAAGAGATACTCTGCTTTTCAACGATTGTACTAACGTAGAAGTTGGATAAATTCAGATAAGTTATGAAGTTGAAGTGAAACATCGGACATCTGTGAAAAAAGAATATGCCAGGGAGCATACTCCAGCCCAAAACTGTCCAATATTGCAATAAAAATATTGGCTGAAAGATTTTAAAGAATATTAAAGGAATCCGGATTTTTTTCCTAAAAACAAATAGTTTGGGCTTAATTTACTGGAATATTCGTTTCTATTTGAGCCACCCATTGAAATAGATAGAAATAGACACATAGATGTGTCAGATAGTCGTAGCAAAGCTTGTTTTAATATTTTTTTAGCAAAAAACATTAAATATTCGTTTTTTGCACCCTATAAAAACCCTGAATACAATTTTTTTCAATAGAAAATCATAAAAACGATGACGACACTGACTGAAACAACTTCACCGACCACCGAAAACTTCACAGGGCTTTAGAGCCCTATAAACCGCATATAATGGCGCAAAATAAAAATAAATTTGCCTTCCTAATTAAATGAGAACCGCAGAAAAAATAAAACGATTGATGAGTTTTTATTGATTTCATTCTTATTTTTCTCATTTATAATTTAAAAATTCTACATTATTGACGCAGCCAGAAAGCTGACAGATTCAGCTTTCTAATAGTCGTAATACTGTTTAATTCGGATAAAATTCAGAGGAGTTATGCATTTTTATATCAGAACTACGGATATCGTGAAAAAAATTTACCCCCCCCTCCACCGAGACTCGAGTCTAAAATTTTATGTTTTATTGACATGAAAATTCGTATTTAAAGGTTTTAAAATGTGCTTAAAACGATGCCGAAAAAAAAGTTTTTTAACAGAAGTGTTTTTTGGTCTACATTAGTGAAAGCTTCTTTTCGTTTTTGTAAAAAAATTTGTAGACAATTATATATATTTAGACTCATTTTAACGCAATCCTGCATATTATTTTCTTATCCTAGTTTAAAAAAAATACATTTGAAATATATGCAAACGCGGGAAAACATTAATTCTCTCTCGCTCTCTCTCACACACTCTCTCTCTCTCTCTCTCTCTCTCTCTTTCTCTCTCTCTCCCTCTCTCTCTCTCCTCCCTCTCTTTCTCTCTTACTCCCACACTCATTTTTTATCACTTACTCTCTCCCTCTCACTCACTCTTTCTCCCTCACTCACTTCCTCTCACATCCCATCTTTCCCTCTCACTCAATAAATCATTCACTCACTAACTATCTCTCTCTCCCTCTGACTTTTTGTCTCTCTCTCTCTCTCACACACACACACTCACTTTCACTGACCCACTTAATACCTTATTCTCACTCACTCACTCTCTCGTTCAGTCAGTAACTTTCTCACTCACTTTTTCACACTCTCTCTCCCCCTCTCTCTCTCCTTCCTTGATTTCAAATAATGTTTCATTTGTTTCTTTAAAATTCTGGCTCCGTGATTTTTTTTTTCCATTCTGGATTACTACAATGTTCAGGGTACCGAAAATCGGATTAGGGAGAGATCCCTAATGCTTTACTCCTTTGGAGGTATTACTTATAAAGTGAAAAAAACTACTGTGTAGTCAGAAAGATAATTTTTTCTTTGGTTTTAATGTTTTCTTAACTAGAATGAGACAAAAATGTAAATTGGATAAAACTTGAATGGTCCAAAATTATGAGGGACTGGTTGGTTGGAAGAAGATTGTGGATATCGAGCTTTTTAGTCCACAATTTTTGAAGCAATTGAAATCCAAATGTGCAGCGAAATTTTAAAAAAGCCCATACACATTTGTTTCATGTAACTGACGTCTGTTTTGCCAAAATTAAATCAGATTATTGTGTTTTTAAAAGGTTTCTCATAACCCACCTATTGATTAAACGTTACTAAGGAGATATGCGAGCGTTGTTTATGCTTTCCACTCATACTTCATTCTATCTCGAAGCGATATCGCCTATAAACGGAATGTATTGAGAAGAAGGTTTTTACTCTCTTTCCAGCTTTTCTAAAACCGGCTGAGACAGCCCAAACTTCGTCTCAAAACCGCGACGTAATACTCATCGTCGGCGTCAGCATAATTACGCTTATCCTGATACTACTGCTGATACTTTTCTTGGTCTTTGGCTTGGGAAAGAGGAAAAAGAAAATGGCAGAGAGTCGATCCGGCATTTTCCACAAGGAGCAGACCGGAAGGGAGAATTTGGGCTTTCACGAAGAGCCTGAAACAGACAAGGTAAGTTGTCTTTCAATATTACACGACAAACTTGACAAAAAGTATTAGTCTTTACTTAAAAATTTGCGAATATACACTTATTTCTTCATGCATATGTTTACGCGAAGTAATAATACTTAAATTTTTGTCATTTATGACAACCATCCTTTGAAGTAAGACCGGGGTTTGTCCATTTATGTTTTGTATACCATTTCCCAGAGTAATCCTTTTGTCTATTACATTTCATGATCTATGTGGTTTTTATTCTCAAATTGTTATTGTTACATTTAGATGCTTCCTTTTAGAATAATTGACTCTGTTGTAACTGTTATTCAGGACACTTTTATTTACAAATGTTGGATGTTTCATGTAAAAACGGAGGGCCAATATTTATTTTTGAAACTCTTGTTCCATCCAACATTTGTCAGATAAAAGTAATCTGAATAAGATAGCAATGGCAACGCAAGGGTGGAAGGACTGCTCTAGAGCAAGTTCGGATGTTAAATTGGAACTAATCTTCAGTTCTGCAATAATCTTAAGTTTCGTCCTTCGTTTCAGCATGTCTGCTGTAGTTTAGACGAGACCAACTAGAAGTCCTGTGTTATTCCGCTAGGTTTAATTTGATCCATTCTTCAAATATTTTTACCATCTGTACAAATATATACTTTATGTAATGTACAATATTTATCAGTTGCATTTATTCTGAGGGGAGCCAGCAACCGTTGTTGCTCTCCCAGTTTTCTGAATTGTTATTTATAGTACTATAGTTGTAGTTTAGTAAGGAAGTCCCGAGGCCATCTTCGCTACAATCGCCTTACTTAGGGATGTGTTATGTTGGACATTGATCGGGCTAATATGTTACACATTTTCAGGTCGTTGTGGAGAGTGGTATTCGAAACATAGTACGGAGCGTTGACTATGATTCTAAGGGCTTTGGGTTGGAAGGATTGAATTAATTGGATATTGGTAGGTTTATCGGTGCCCCTCGGTTCTAGTCCATATGGCCAAATCGGTTTCTCTAGTTTTGTACAGTATCAGTTGGTTTTATGTATACATGTTTGATTTCCGAAGTCCGAAGCGTTTGTTCAGTTCCTGTCTTTTTATTTGTATGTTTCGGTACCAGGTTAGGCTTGTATCAGTATAGAACGCAAGGAAGCGTACACGGTTTTAGGGAGGAAGAATATTGTGTAAAGGGTTTTGCTTCTAGGGTAAATGTAACATGGGTTCATTTGTTTTCTTTAATTGTTATCCTCCAAAGTTTGCTCCATTCGGCTATTCGTCGGACGTGTGCCTGAAGCTCCTTCGAGGCGATTACGAGATCGGGATCAGGGAAAGCACAGATGTGTCATCAGCAAAGGGTGCGAGAAGGGTGTAGTTGGGATGTCTGAGTGTAGAGGAGGTACAGGAGTGGTCTGGGCACACTGCCCTGTGGCACTCCCGCTCCCAGAGGAGAGTGGTAGGTGTAGACCGACCCTTGGCGAACTCGGAAGAGCCACCCTGTGAGGTTGGAGGAAGTATTAGGTATAGGTGTTTGGAAGGACGCGCGTTAGTTTGTATAGAAGACCCTCATAACACACGCGGTCAAACGCTTGTGGCACATCAAGGAAGGTCTATCTAGGTATCTTATACTCTAATGAGGTGGATGTGTGGTCTACAAAGCACCTGCTGGGTTGTGGAATGTTGAGAGTGAAAACCAAATTGGTGATCTGAGAAAAGGTTGAAAGAATTAAGTGTATGGATCAATCGTTTTAGGAGGTTTTTCTCAAATATTTTTGAGAAGAGATGGAGCAGGCTTGGACGGTAGGAAGATGCATTATTGGCGGGTTTGCCTGGCTTAGGAAAAAGAATGTGTGAGTATTTCCGGAGCAAAGGGAAGTGTGAAGCGCGGAGTATACTGCTGTATAGGTACGTGAGGTTTTTTTTAGTATGAATTACTCTACATTTGGAAAGGTTCTTCGGCGCTTCATAGAAACAGGGCATCACACTAGTAGGCCAAGACAGGGGAACTAGGTCTACAGATGAGAGAGACGATAGATCCATCCATCATCAGGCGCTATGAAACTGCCGCATTACGAGAAATGAGAGAAGAAATCTGATAAGACAAGTCTGAAATGTTTCGATTTCCTCCAGGAAGAAGATACAATGAAAATAACCTCAGGGACCGTCACCCGGCTCGACGACCTCTTCTTACGACAGCTCAGAAAATGGCCAGGTTGGTACGGGAACACGTGAATTGGATATTGGAAGATTGGGGACGAATTCTCTTTACAGATGAGGGAAGAGTTGGTCTTAAATCTTCAGATGGAGACGCTCAGGAGAAAGGTACACCTCATGCTGTATGGTTCCTCAGGTGGCACGCCTTGGTGGGTCATTGATGTTCTGGGGGGGGGTCATGTGCTTGGACGCCCTCACCGAATTGGTTGTTGTGCGAAGAAGATCTCTAGCATCACAGAGGTTTTCACAAACCATAATCAAAGAACATGTAGTGCCATTTGCCCCCCACATCGGTGAGAGATTCTTGATAATGCAGGATAATGCCAGGCCCCCATAGAGCACGTATTGAAGATGACTACCTGAATGAGGTTGGAAGTGAGTGCTTGGTGTGGCCACCTCGTAGTCCGGATTTGAACCCGATCGAACACATTTGGGACCAACTTAAGCGACGAGTACGACGGCGAAACCCAGGTCCTAACACCCTAAGACTTGGGCTGTATGGAACTGAGGTTTTTTTTACAAACAATTCTATGAGGTCGGGAACATGATTTACGTCGGTTGGCTAATATGTGGGATTGTGTGGAGAAATGGAGGATAGGTTAAGAGAATTGACTGTTGTGTAGAGACAGCGGCTAAACTCTACAGTTATTCCTCCCTGGCTTTTCATTAACGTTCTGTTCGGTGCCAGGGCACAGAGGAATTCATAGTAATTTGAGAATGGGCCCACAAAAAGGAGACGTGGACGAACAGGTGCCAGACTCTGACTTATAATTAAATAACCTTCACCAAAATTGGCACGCTGATACAGCTAAACAGTGTAAAACTCTGGAAAGTGATAGAGTTATATACTGGATACTGGCGTATAAGAAAACACTTAAACAATATGGATATTGATGTGATGACCCAATTTGCAGGGGGATGACCCAATGAGGAGAAAGATACTGTCACCCATAATTTGAATACGAAACAACCCTCAGTGGAAACATAATATAGAAGAAGGCCCGGGAAAAAGAATTGCAGTCAATGTCCTATTAGTACTTTAAAGAAGGAAAAAGTCAATTGAACTGAACTAAGGAAACAGGAAAAGCACAATAAGCTCAAAACGTCTTTTGACTGCATGCTCAGGGAATACCAAATCCCTACTTCCTTGCTTCCTTTTCATTACCATCTGCACACCTTTTGTAGGTTATGCAATAGGGAGGAAGTCACTGCCACCCATATTTCGACTGTAGTAATCACTCAATGAAGACATAACCTAGCATAAGAAGAAGACCCGGGAAAAATCTGTACCTACTGTCAATGACCTAGTACTTCTTGAGAAAAAGATCGAGTCAATTGAACTGAAGTAAGGAACTAGGAAAAGTATAATAGTCTAAAAGGCTGCAGTACTTGGGGAATAACAACCTTCGCTTTCTGACGTCCTCATCATCTTCGTTGTCGTTTTATTCTCTGTGACCAATAACTCAGCATACCCTGTGGTGTACTTGATAGTAGATGGACGTAAGTGATGGTTCTTCTTTTCTAGCCCTTCCTTCTAGATCTGAAATTAGGTTCGCATTGTTGGTCTAAGATTAGATTGGTACAAATGAACCAAATTTGGATTGTGATTGTGTGTTAAACTGAAGATATTTTTTGAGAAAAAAACGTCCTTCTCACTACTTTTTTTACGTTTCAAACGTCAAATGATTTTGTACTCATTTTTGGTTTTAGAGTTCCCGACGAGGCGGTGGAAAAGATGTACTCGACGGGGGAAGTCTTTCCAACGAAAGCGAGACCTCGGTCGACGGGATGGCGACCCGGGTACTCAACACCCCACCGGAGCCGCGGGCCAGGCCGAGGAGTCACAAACCTTCTAGCCCGCATTCCTACCTTTCCATGCCGTCCGTTAAAGCTTTCCCGAGGTAATGTACTCTTCCGTGGGAATTATTTTCAAGAAACTTGTCCGAACGAAAATGTTATAGGGGTGCGCCAATACCGGGCCCGTTAGAAAAGGTACTCGAGCCTGAAAACTCGAGCACGGGAGGGCACGTGCTCGCGAGGCACAGCAGCGCTTCCGCGGACCCAGGGGTGGTGGGTCCTCTAGTCTGGGATCTGCACTGTCATCGACTCAACAAAAAAGGTGAGTACGATATGTTTGAGATTTAAATTTTGACGAAGAACACATCTGTTCATATTTAATACTCCCGTCATTAACAAATACAGATTGCCTTTATTGTGGAATGTTTTAGGAAGAAATATTGGTTTCTTATGCTGTACAACCACTGCTTTACCACCGCATAATAAAATGTCAAATCAAACCAAACATAAAGACAGTATCAACAGAAATATGAGTAAACGAGAGGAAAACAATGCTAGTTATTAAAATAGCTTAATCCACTGACGCATGATGTAAATCGATCTGTACACAACAGATCTAAGCCAAAACTAAATTGGACACAGTCAATCTTGTACATTGCTGGGGGCAATATGCACGATCACAAATATCTTAAGTTTCCTTTGAAATTATGTGATAGGGAGATGCAAGGGCTCTAGTGGTAATTCCTGTCATAGTTGGATGTCGCTAACGAGGGGTCAAAACCACTTTAAAATCCTTTCGCCATATTATTCTTTATTAAAAAGCCATGGGCTATGTCGGAATTCGAACCTAGAACCGATAGCGTGGCAAGGTACCGAAAAGTCGATTCTAACATTCAATTCTGCTAACGAAGACTTTTTCAAGAAGGCCATCGCAAAGCGACAAGTCATGATAGTTTTTATAAACCGGGACCTCACTCTCACTTGTAGTCCTAATAGGTCATAATTATGTTTAATAGTAGTGCCATTAGTTTCCGCGATGGTTCTTTTCCTTATTCTTATCACATTTTCTGATGGATCTGCGTTTTTGACAGTTTGGTATGCCGCAAAAAAGCTCAGATCCGATAGGTGCCTTCTGGCCTGTACGCCGTCGTACCCAAACATAGGTGATTTTGTGGTTTATCCTAGTGCATGGCATGACATTTAGTGCAATATCAACAAGCACAGGACCGACTTCAGTTCTCCTTGGATGTCCATCTACTCGGACTGCTATGGACCTAACAAGCGCTGAGGTAGTTGCCTTAAATCCAAGAAGAATTTTTTAAGAGTTACTAAAGCTGTCTTTTAATCCCTTGGATCGGCGTTTTGGGCGAGTCGGTATGCAGCAAAAGGGTTCAGAGCCAATATGTGTCTGCTGTTCTGTACAACGTGGTACCCAAACCTGGGTGATTTTGTTGTTGTTCCTAGTGCATGACATGGCCTAGATGTAATATCGAACTGCACGTTACGACCGACTTCAGTTCCCCTTGGCCGTCCATTGGCGTTTTTGGCGAGTCGGTATTCAGAGCCGACAAGTGTCTTGTGCCTTGTATGAACTGGAACCCAAACAAGGGTGACTTTGTTGTTTTCCCCAATATATGACATGGCCTTGATGCAATAAGAAACTGCACCGGACTTTACTACCAATAAGCAAGTGCCTTCAGTGCCCCCTGATGTCCGAGTACATTCCTCTTATTTCGTTGCTACTACTTTTAATCTCCCTGGATCTGCGTTTTTGGCAGTTTGATATGCCCAAAAGGCTTCAGAGCTCTTACATGTCTTATGCCCATTATGACTTGAATAAATCCTATGACCCAAACAAAGTTGATTTTGTTGTTTTTCCATTGTATGAAATGGCCTTAATGCAAACCCAAACTGCTTAGGACTTTACTATCGATAAGACAGTGCCTTTAGAACCCCTTGGCTGTGCAATTAACTAGCCTCTATTTTGTTACTAATGCTGTCTTTTGTTCTCCCTGGATCGGAGTTTTGCCTATATGGTATGCCATTAATCTGTTTAGAGCAAATAGTTGTTTTCTACCCCGTATGACCTAGCAACAAAGCAAAGTTGAGTTTTTTTGCTTTCCCCAGTATATGGCATGGGCTTGATGCAATCCCAAACTACTTTGAACTTTAGTACCGATGAGGTAGTTGCTTTCAATCCGAGTAGATGGCTATTAATGTGTTTGTAACACCTAGTCTTTTTAAGGTCGATAAATGTCCTGTTTGAAGTTGCCTTGGCCAAATTATTCACCTCCTCAGACGGACCTGATGCCCAAACAAGGAGAGTGCTATTGACCCCAAGACCTTAAGATTATTCTTTTATGAAAAAATGTCACAAAATCCCAGAGACAAAACTTCTCAAATATCTTTTCTTCTATGCTTAACATTGACCTTAACATTACCCTCGTGACGCGTTGGGCAGTGAGAGCCACCATTTATAATTTGTTTTCATAATATTAAAATTATCGCTTTTATTATTATTTTTATATGATTATACTTCATCCCAAGACATGAATAAATAATACAGTCTATATTCACAAATCTGAAAAGTTAGTTAAGTATCGGAATTAAATTGTACAAAGATATGCGATTAGTGGCAGAATTGTGAGCGCTTGTCACATTTAGCGGAATGCTTCACGCTTCAGGAACAATTGGTATGATTATATAAGTAAGTCCTTCGTCCAGAAAAAATAAAAGTATAGGTAGGTCATGGTTGTAACGATTGTCATGGTCGTCCTCTTCGTCCATCAAAGTTGTAGAAAAAGAGTTGACTTTTTATGGATATTCCAGACTGCGAGGAGCATGGGGAAGTGGAGCCGAGTGTAGGTCGCATGAGAAGAAGGTTCCACGAACTTTTAGACGACGCTTTCAGCTTGTTCGGAAGCCGGAGTGGCACGCCTGAGGAAGACGACGCCACGCCGACCCACAATGTCTACGGCCGTGCCAAATCCGCAGTTATCATGTAAGATCGATGACAAAAAACTAAATGGATTTTTATATATATACATATATATTAAACTAGCCTCCACTTTTATCCTCACTGTTTTTCTTGTTGAATCACTGCAGTTAATTAATAACGATTATTGTAGTCGTAAATCTTAAAAGAAACATTTAATCGTGTTGTAAACCTTTAAAATATCATATCTTTTATTATTTTGTATGGAGCAAAGGGGGGGGAATTAATCACGGCTCTATTCATTCTCTTCACTTTAATCTTATCTGAAAGACAAACTCACCAGTTTTTATAAGCTGTTTACCTTGGCAATAAATTATCATAAACTCAGTACACAAACTGGAGGAAACCAGGTTAAGAATTGTAAAAAACTTCATAATAATTTTGCGCACTTGAGACAAGCAGATTTTTGTCTATTTCTAATGAAAAACAAGACACGTACGTACTAATACATGTATGTAATAAATAAATCCCAGTACTACAAAAAAAAAAGTGTATTAAATCGCAATTAAGCTGTAGGCAATGATTTTTTGGTTTTTTTATTTGCATTCTAATTCTACGCTTTCGTCTGTTAGTAAGTAGAAATAAAAATAACTGCGGGTACTCAATGCTTGGATGCAATATTTATCTACTTAACAAAAAAAAGTTAGCACTTTAAAACAAAATTTGAAATGACGTACAAAGCATGGATTTTTGTATGCACAACACATTTCTTTAATATCTACCCTTTTAGACAGCTTTCACACCGAACCAGTTGCTTTAATTCGGAGTTTCCACACTAAAGAAACAGGATACAATAAATATATCTTGCTTCTCTGGTAGAACCTGGCCATGCCCAGATGAGCTTCACGTCTAAAAACCATTACCTCCAAAGATGGTAAGTACCTAGCCATTACCTCCTTGAGCAAAAGCTATAGTGGTTACAAGTAACACCTCCCCTTCTACTAGGTGGTACTATCGCCACCTCTATGGTTAAAGTAGTAGGTGACCTAATTACAGAGCTTAAAAACTTTGTACACCACAGATGACCTCGTTATCATAAAATGTGGAAGATTTTATGATACTCTGTCAAATCGGATGACGCCCTAAACATTGTAGAAAGATGGTGTGATAAAATGTGTTGAAATATCAATACGAAAATTCTTTCTTTCCCGTCATAAGAAGGAAGCAAAACCTAAAAACACCAACTTTAAACGATGAAGCCATAACCTCCAAAGAAATTAACTACAGAGGCACAGCCCTTGACCAAAGACCAAGTGGAGGTCATATAGGCAACATAATACATAATTCCCGGCCTTACTAAGCATTGACCATTATGCAGACAAAATGGAGAATAAACCTCAGGATGGTGTAATGGTTACACGTACACATATAACAGTCATGCCCTGGTCACATGGAACGCTAGTTGACCAAAAATGAGTTACAAACCCTGCAAAGACTAGCATGTCTTAACATAACAGTGGCAATGCATAATTTTCAACATTCATGGAAAAAAAGGTGGTGTCGAAAATGCCAACCCCTGTCCCTCCAAAGAACCTAAGGACTTAGGTATAACACTTCATCAAAGCATTATTAACCATCGGTCATTATACAGGTTAAACTAAGGAATAAACCCCAGATGGCATATTGGTTGTACACAACGGATAGATGGAGCACTAGCATGGTGGCGAAAAACAATGTGCAAAGTCTGCAAAGACTAGCGTGTCTTAACATAACAGAGACAGTGTCCCACATCAGAAGAAACCGCACTCATTTCCCATCTTTACACATGCATGTAGAAAGATGGTTTTCGAAAATGCCAACTCCTGAGATACAGAGAAACCAAACCAGAAGAGAAGCCATCATAAAATTCTGGAAACAATTAAAATAGATAAGTTGGCTCTAACGTTACCTAAAAGTGGAGGAAAACAATGACAAACCTTCCAATGGTCCTACATAACAGAGATCATTGGAAGAAAAGCAACCCCACTTTTCAAGACGGAAATATGGTAAACTGATGGATCACAGATGAAGATGGACAAGAAGGACCCAATTACATTCCAAACTGAGGTCATTAGTCCACAGGAGTTGATAAATGATAAAATGAAGGTGCACGACTCTACATACTTTCGGACAGCCAGGAATAAAAGCTCAAAATGCGTATATTTTTAGGTCTGAACTAGTCTAGGAGAGACTAAATTTTCTTATGACCCTAGGAGAACACAAAGTTACTTTGAGGTATGACTCGGTAACATGAAGGTCTAGAAGGAACAAGCTGACCAACTTAGCCAAAGAAGCATCTCACCCTTGGGACTGGAACCACAGCTAGAGTCAAAGAAAAGTGTGCTAAACTTGGAGCTAACATAAGCTGTTCACATAGCGTAGGAAAAAAGCACAAGATGTGAGGCAAGAAGGCAAAGTAACTACTCTGTATCTCTCTCTCCTCACTCTCAGACCTATAGGCCTCTATGCCGGCCACTGCCATTTTATCCACCTCCTAAAGAACGTGAACAGCGCAGAGACAGAAACATGCCGTCAATGTAAAGAAAAACCGGAGGCATCAGGTCGTATGTGGATATGAGAACAACACAGCCACTATCGGTAAGGCAATTCTCACACCGTCAGTGCATGAGCAGGTCATGAAAGTGCTCTTTTTTATGGGAAAAAGTTCTCTTATACACGTTAAGATCATAAATCATAGTGGTTACATAATAGTACTATGTCGCTGAGGAAAAGGTTGGATCTTACTTTTCCCTGTCGTATAGGTGTGAAAGCCTCCTAAAATGCATGAGCGCATTATTTTGTGCTTAGTTTGACATTGCATAGATGCTTGATGCATGTTAGTAGTGACAAATTTATTATTACTTCTATACTCTTAACCTACTAGTTTTCTTCTCTACCTAACTTCGAAAAACAAAGTATTATTTTGACCTTCAATGAAAACTGATGAATTGCTAATAATATTGAGATGGAACATACACAAAACACACGTTTGGTACACGAATCAGAAAAGGAGACTACACTCAGGTTCGAAATGTTCTAAAATGGCAACAGAAGCCAGATGGAGTTTGAATCAAGAAGCCTAAGAAGACGGGTTTGTCAGTGTTCTTTACTTGATCTCGACTTTTTAGGAATATAAGCAGGATGAGGTTAGACACTGAGGTTCGCGGATTACCAAAACACATCTATCAGGCCAACCTGGGTAGACAGACCAAATTAAAGACAATTCTCATAATTTATTACTAGCATTTTAGTTAGAATCTTTAGGGTTGTGATTAGACAATGTGGAATGGTGAAACACGTCTGATAAAGCATTTCACTTAATCTCGACATCTTTGGGGATATAAGCAAGTTGGCTAGACGCAGACTGAGCACTGAGCTGACGGAGAAACATGTCTGTCAGACCAGCCTAGATAGACAGACTAAATTAAAGATAATATAGTCCAAAATTGAAATTTAGTCGTTTCCGGTTAATTTGGTCTGCCTATTCTCGCTGGATATCGTCATTATAAAATTTCCCATATTTTATGACGATTAAGCAATCAAACCCTTTAGGGTATACGCTGATTGAGGCTAAACAAGAAGGCGGAATCGTGAAACACCTATGACAGACCATCCTGGCAGACCAAATTCATCGGTAACGACCAAATTATAGACATAGTTAGCCCAAAATTGAAGTTTAGTTGTTTTCGGGCATTTTGGTCGGGATTCCCTCGCCGGGTTTGGTTTTTCAGACGAAAGAACAAAATGTTTTGGACCAAATGTCACCTTAATTTGCTCATTTTGGTCTGCCTATCCAAGTTAGTTTATCAGACGTGTTCCGGCCTACCGCCACATCCAGTGCCTCAACCTGCTTAAATCCTTAAGCACATCAAGATTAATTATAATGTTATTCGGCGAGAAACCGAAACACATCTGGCAGACCAACCTGGCTAGGCAACCAAATTTATTAGTGATTTTGGTCTGCCTTTCCAGGTTAGGTTATCAAACGTGTTTCACCATTCCGACGCCTTGCCTAGTCTCAAACAGATTATATCTTTATAGACGTCTTACTAAAATGTTAGTAATCGAAAATTATGAAAATTACCTTTAATTTGGTCTGTCTATCCAAGTTGATCAATCAGACGTGTTTTGGTATTTCGCTATCTTCAATGCTGGCTCTGTGTCTAATTCATTTTATTTCCCTAAATTCTACGAGATTTTCTGATTTCAAGCACAGCAGTGAAGATGGCGAGAGGTCTCAACAATATTGACAAACTTGGATAGGCAAATGAAAATGATCAGTAACAGCCAAATGATACATAGCATAGTTGGTTCAAAACTATAGTTTCTTATTTCCGATCATTTTGGTCTGCCTATAGCATTCTAGTACATCTGTAAGGATGTAGGCAGTGTGAGGCTAGACAGAACAAGCGGGCCAGTATGACAGACTAACCCGGATATGCCAAAATGATCGGAGGTGTAAAATATGAGAATTTTTTTTCAATCAAAGATATTTAGGAGTGCCCGGAGCAGCTGGACCTTTTATGGCAATCAAGATTAGTTATATTTCAATGGTTTATTTGAACAGTTGAAGTGTTAAAACGGTATTTCTCCTGCTAACCTTAGCTAGAACATTACCATATTTTTATGGGAATATAAAAAATTTAACCAAATACAATAAAAGATGACGATTTATGCCAAGGTACAATCAAATGTCATGGAAGGCTTTTCATTCTCTACATCAAGATAAAAATAAAATGCTCATTGTAATTTTTTCTCAACTATTAAATACCCTATAAATATATGATATATATAACAGATTGTTACTTTTCCGCAGCTCGCCAGAGGAT